CAGAGGAAGAGAAACCTAATTCGCTCTTTGGTTCAAAGGGCGAAGAAAATATGCACGACGGACACTTTTGACAATGAACTTGAGTTCCTACGTACTGCTTTTGCTCAGAATGGCTACCCCGAACGATTTATCGATAGCGAAATGCTAGAACACGAGGAACGGATGAAGGAAATAGGAGCAGCGAAGAAGTCTGTCTATGTGCACCTGCCGTTCCAGGGAGATACAGGGGCAGAAGTCTTTCAAAGAAAACTAACAAATGCAGTAAGCAGAACGTTTTACGCTACACAATTCAAAGCTATGTTCACATCTAAACGAAATGTGTGTTTCCGACTGAAGAATAGAGTACCAGGTGCTGTTTGTATTCATTCACCTGTTCTTGTGAGACTGGGAACATCGGCCGCACGACCAGGCGCTTATCCGATCGCGTTCGCGAACACCACCCGGCATGGCTGAGGACTGGAACAATTAAGACGATTACGAGCGCATCGAGCGCAAACTAAACGCCCACGTCTATTCAGCTTCATAAAATAGGAAAACGGGAGTTCCATTCATCAAACCAGTGTAAACCATTCACACGTACTGGTTTTTGCTCAAAGGTGTTCATTGATTTCATTTCATATTTATTTGAGCAATTTAACCGATGATTACGGTCTCTCGTTTTCCTATTGTTCATCAGTGGAAAGGTATGGAAAAATAGCTAGGACAGTGTTTGACCACTGCTGTATACACATTTACATATATATGTATATGTATATGATGCTCCCTCATAGTTACCTATTTTTATACAATTGTATAAACTGTTGTATACAACAGTCAGGAAAGGGGTATCGGTCAATCGAATGGGTTGCCATACAGCACATAATGGAGAGCATCAGGTGGTGGTGTTGGACTCGAATACACGTCCNTCCGTGTCAATGAATGTGTAACGTTGCCACCTCTCCAGCACCGCCTTACGGATTACCAACAAGGGTACCACCACATTTATCATATTCTCACGAAAAATAAATATCTACGTCAAAAACAAACACGCCAACATATTTCTTGATGGTGAACCAAATGACACGTGCGATGAAATCCATCCGAATTTCCACCATTGGATCTGCTAACGATGCTATCGGCGTGGCGTCTTTCAGGTGGACCAGTGGCTTCAGATGCAGACGGAATGAAAGCAATGAGGTATACGCTATGACAACGAAGTTTGCCGAATTATCTTGTCTCTTTTCAACTAACGGAATCGCGCAAGTTGCAATCATGATCGATTTATGCGCTCGTTTCAATTCTGGAATTAACTTTTAACATGCCAAGAAGAAAACGTCACGGGAACCCACCGGGTGGAGCACAGATTCAGTGACATACAGACGGTAGTAAGAAGTATTACATTCGTCGGAATAGAATTATATACCAACAGATTCTTGCTTTGTGATCCGATCACTTGTCTAATGAAACGGTTCCACGATTTCGTGATTCCTTTTCTTTCGTGTGAAACCAGGAAATCTCCCGTCTCTTTCCAGTTACCTTGACCAACACAACATGGCGTCCTATGTGCCACCTCGTTAGTCGTTCATTTTCTATGCTTTCATTGAATGTTCCGTTTATCTGGGTATGTTTACAACGAAACATCGTACCATTATCGTCTATTCGAAACTATTCACGACAGCCTTCTTCGTTCTGACCGAACATAAAAGTAACAAATTTAAAATGCTTTCTATTCTCCGCCAGTTTTTACTTTTATAAATATGCCATTTACTCGAGATTGCGCAGATACCCATTACCGAAACACCTAGTCTGTGTTCTGAAATGATACTCTGTTGTCAAGTGTTGATTTATAGAGTGAACAAACGGAGGTTTTCAACAATGTACATTGATCGTGAACGTTGGAGGGCTTCACCTGGGAATCTCTCCTTTCAACCGCTACCGGATACCGAATTTCCAACCTTAATACTGATAGTATTCTCGTGGGTAGTCCAATGCTCTTTTTAGTCATCACAGTGATTTCAGCAAACTAACTGCTCGAGAAGCGGAGGCTACAACTTTCGGATGAAATACAAATAAAATTTATTCTGTAAGACAGAGCACCTTTTCAAGCATCATATTTCACAATTCTATAATACTGTTAAACAGTTCATTTTAAAATAGCAATCAGCCGTTGATTGGGAACGCTCAAATGATGCCCAGTCACTGGAAACCAAAAGGACATGAATGTTTATTACACTCATTCAATTAGCTGCACTCTGCTCTCAAGTTAGACATTGCTACCGTTACTGAACTCGGGCTGACCACCGACATTCTCGACTCGGAATTGCTTCTATCGGGAATGTCGCTGCTCAGACGTGATCGTCCTACACGAGGCGGTAGAGTGCTGCTTTAGCATCAAAACAATTAGTAGTGTGAACAGCTCGATAATCCCGATGCAACCCCCGATTCGTTATGATTTTCAGTGAGACTCTCCAAAAATGATTGGGTCTAATCTGTGTTGTGTACCGACCTTCCGCATTTTCAGACTCAGTCAACGAGATTTAGTTGGAAACCATAAGGAAGGCTTTATCACTAAAGTTCAGCTATGCTCTCATAATGGGTAACTTTAACTACCCCAATCTCATAAGAACGAGGACTTCCCGCCAGCCATTCCAGAGACAATTATCTAAGTTGATTAGGTTGCACCCACTGAACAACCACGTAAAAGAACCCACCGAATTTGGAGCAGGTCACGAATCATCAACACTGGATTTAGTGCTGACTAACGAGGAGCTGGTGGTGGAACCTGTCAATGTCACGTCTCCACTAGGACATAGTGATCATGTCATATTGATGTTTGACTATATAGGCTACGCCTCTACCAAAGGAAACCGAAACAAGAGTATTCGTGTCACCATAGACTACAAAAGGCTGCCGACATTTTTAGATGGATAAGCATTACGTCACACTCGCCAAACCCGTGACGATTGGTGGACTGCTGGACGTACAAACAGCATACAGCCTCATGGAAAGACGTTAATTCCATTATTTCATTCATTCCACTTACGTTTAAAAACGAGTCCTAGTTTGAATCGGAATGTTACAATAAACATTTTACAACTCAGTGTTTGCATCCATTCTCTCGTGACAGATATCGATGAGTGTGTATCAAACGCGGAATATCCTAAACATTTTTGAACTGTTTTACGAAGAAATCGTGTCAACATCACTGATGTGTCTCTACGTCGCCAAGCCCTTACCGAACGAGATAACTTATCCAACCGTGTACCCGAGATGGAGCAAAAGTTTTTGAAATCTTCCCGTGTCTTGGATGAGCTGACTGCAGAGGAGAAAACGGAATTTGTAGCTTACGTTCGATCAATTGCGAACAAGCAATTTGAGCGGATTCGTACGACATTACGAAAAAGTGTTAACCCTATCAAACTGATTGGTGAGTTCCCTGCAGATCCGAAGAGGTTTGTCCATAATTTTTCCTCCTTAAACTTGAAATAGACTTTGCTTGAAGTGCTACCTCTGGGGCCAAACTTCTGTTGTCCAAATAGTAAAACTAAGCATCCAGATTTGGAAGTTGGATTTTAGAGTTTATTCGCTCAGCTATCTGGACTGGCGCCATCCTATTCGCAGGAGTTAGAGAAAATAAATCCACACTTGTGAACTCATGTTACCAATATGATGATCGTAAACCATCAATCAACAAAAGGAATATTAACTTTGGAAAACCTGAAGTGTCTCAGAGAGTTGCAAGCCATTTCTTTGAATTCCATGTTTGTTTTCACGATCAAAATTGCTGTTCAGTAGGAGGACTAAACTGAATATATTTAGTTTTTCGCTTTTGTCCTGTTTTGTGAATTACACGCTGCAGCCTCGAAATTGGAATACGCCAGATGGAATAGATTAGAAGGCAAACTGTGTTGATCTGTTGGATATCTTGTTCACCCTCACAGGAAAACACTGAAGGATTATTGGGAGAAAACATTACGGAACGATTATCGGTAAGATGGCTGGATGAAATGCTACATTTGCTTTCAGAATGAGAGAACTGTAACCCGTTGTGCTACCATACCAATGTGCTAACAACAAAGATCATTGTCAAGAGTAAAACCTAAGCATGTACCATAAGTGACTGGATACGTCTGTCATATTTTCAATGGCCAGATTTCATAATGAGACGGAGAACAGGAAAACTAATCGATCTATGATATTCAAACAACGGGAGGAATGTAGTGAGGCGACCATTGTTTGCACTGTTCAATCTCAAATAGGAATGATTAGAAATGTGAATGGAAATGGAAGGATAATGGGCATATATTTCATGTCTAAAAACAGCAGTCAATGGTGTGTTGGAGATCACAATTTTTGAAGAATCAGAGCTTGTAATGAGCACCAGCCGTTCATCGACGCTACTCAATTTTGGGTTACCAAGACAAAATATTTATGAAAAGCCCTACCCTTTTGTGCATGATAAGATGCACAGTTAACAAGTGATCACAGGCAATGGTGGGAAACTACTACCTTTAAAACGTTTGTAATGTATGTGGGATCAGCTCAGTTTAATAGAGAACAAATGCTTTGCAGAAGTTCGCATTCCTATGTGATCGTTCCACATGGCATTTTCGGAAAACAAACTTTCATTTGGGCTATGTGTCCCTCTGCACAAATGCAGGTTGTCTCGTACTAGTGATCACGGCGCGAATTAAGCAACACGGAAACTTCAGTTGGCGCGGATTTGGAATTTTCGATACTGATTACACATGCATGAAAATGGTGATAAACATTGGGAGAAAAAGATTTATTGCCTGGCCATTAAACAAAAAACATTGCTCGTTGCAAGAAACAAACGAACAAAAGCGGAGAAAAGGGATTCAAACTAGAAATCTATAGAAGTTGGCACGGTTTTTCAGCAGGGTACCTTCTCCGGAGGAGACACAGTGTATCCCGATCCCTGCCCCGGAAGTGGTTTAAACACAACCACCTGCCAGCATCCATGTTCTCCATCGGTCAACTGCAATGAGCAAGGTTGTTAATTAGGAATATTGCAAACCAACCAGAAATTTGTAGTTTGTTCCGGCGGCAACCTGTGTGGATACTGAGAGCAGTCTCAGATGGTGAGTGTCGAATTGAGGAACTGATGTCTTCAATGCAGATGTGAGCTAAAATATGTGGGGATGTCAGTTTGTAGGCTCAACTCACATATGGATTAAACTCAGCCTCCTCTTCCGATCGAACACATCGTGGTTTTGTATAGCCACCGGGAAGGGAGGTTCCCAGGCTTTGTGAGACGGTCAAGAAGAGAACGGAAAGTCCAATGGAGATGCGAGACAGCATTCTGAAAGAGTATAGGGAAAATAAATGTAGTACCGCACAAGAATTGATGAGATTTCTGGTGTCATTTCGTAACTCACACTTTAGCTGTGATTGGCTTTTCTGTAAGGAAAAACCTTATTTCAGGATACTCTTCAACATGCCAGCATATGTAATTCAAATAATAATAATAATAGTAATGAACTTCAACATTCGCATAAAGAGGCTGAACGATATGCGTTGATTTTCGTCCCTAGTAATCATTCGCTGAAACCATAATAACGACGTGCATGGACCGTGCAGCTGATTACACCCACTCGTTTTGTTCCACAACTATCACACCACTGTCCGTAATCCCAAGGGCTTAAATACAGTAGTTCAACTCTCGCCCTCTCTCTCTCAATGTTTGCCCATTATGTGAACTACATTGATTCATAGCCAATAGAGGAGGACGATCCAAAGTGATGGTTGCATAAAAGTGACACACAAAGTCAATTCAGTCAATCACTGACAAACAGCGTCCACTGCACAACAAGTCCTTGCGCTCATTTTACCAGTTAATCTGTTCGCCAAAGCACTATGCAAGTTTCTACGGTCGGGCTCATCATCCTTGAATTAGAGTCGTGTGGAAGATCGTTGAACCATGGGATATTTGCATCTAAACAACCGAGAATGCATTTCATCGTCAAAATGACCCTCGGGTGTGAAGGAGTACATGATTACGTGTAAGGAAACGACCAACACGTGTACTCATGAAGAGATCATTGCATAAGTGATATCATGCATGGTGCGCACATCGTATACATGTATTTAATCGGAATGCAATCATCCAAATGAACAACTTGCTTAGAAACGCGCAGTTTTCTTTGCATGATGATATCAGAATATCATGGCTGTTTATATAGGCTGGGTTACATCTGAAGTCCCTCGGTGTTCTCTGACCGATCTTGTGATGCGTTTCGGTATACACGTGATAAATGTATACGAAGCCGGGTTACGCGTTCGAAATTGCGTTTATCAGTGTAGGTGTTTTGGTTTGTGAGTGCATATACTACTCCACTGTGTATAGGTGACCGTTGAACCGCCAATCGAACAACAATGCGACTTGTGTTTAAAGATTAGCACATTCGCAGTTTGCGGTAAACAACTCATTCTAACCGCAAGTGACCTTTCCACGAAAAGTTTATTCGACTTTGGCAGAATTGATCTAAAAAACTAAAATAATTGAAGGGATGCATTTGTGATTTATATTATTAGATTTATTTGAAAATCCCTTTATTGACATTACTAACCGGTTCCTGGATTATTTGATTTGTGTGATTGTGATGATACAAAAAGATCACCGAATACATTTGGCAACAACGCGTCCTCCACATAGTTATGGTTCCCGTTTTATTCGTCCAAATTGAAACCTCCGGCGTAAAGATCTACCTGGACCTCTCGATTTGCCCCTCACGTTTGATTCCAGGTGGGATGAATGGATTTACTCTACCCATGGATATCGAACGAAATCCGGAGATGTTTAGATTACTCACATGACTAGGGTGTAAGACAAAGTTTACAAACGAAAACTTTGCCTCAGAATGCAGCTGAGAGGGCAGTCAAATTCATCGTCAAACGCACCAACGAACACTGTTGCATACAAGAGAAACCAGAGTACACCTTCACGCTTAGTGCGCATTTAACATCACTAGTTTGAACGGTGTCAACAGAAGAGGGTATCGTTTAAATACTCTACTTACGTTTGTAAGTTTCTCGTACTCGGAACTTTCCACTGTCGTGCTGAATGATTTGTGACACGTTGCACGAGGTTATCACATAAACTGTGCGGATCTGTTCTATGAGTCACTTATGATTATTAAATATAAACGTGCTGCTTTAAACCTTGAGGGTGAGTGAGAGCATTGAGATAATTTCTGTAAGGCACGGGGGTTTCTAACAAAAGACTCGTGCACTTCGGAGTGCATTCGAGGGTTCACTCCAAGCCAATATCCTTGTTCTAATAATTATCGTGGGAGAAAACAAATCGACGTTTGTGCTTGTGAGCAGGTTAAATCTGAAAAACGTTCAGTGGCTTGATGTGTACCTCGAACGGTGCCTTTTAGGGGAATCGGATAATATTTCTTATCCTCTGTACACTCAATTTGCATACAGAATGCAAATTCTGTACTTGTCAGTGCAAATTCCTATGGAAGTGTAACGGGTGACAATAATTTACTGATAGAAAATTCAAAATAGCTGTAACATCTTGAGCCGATGGTGCGTAGGTATACGTGCATTGGTACAGATCTTAGTATTAAACCACGAATTTGAAACTACTACCAAAATGTTTGATAGCCTAATGCAAACTGACAGGAGATACATCTCAGAAATGAAGAATAATATGATTCAATCATTGGACAAAATGAGAGAATCACGTTTGGTACGTCAAACCGTGCGTTCAGATGCAGTAAGAATGAATGTATTAGGAACTTGATTTCCTCAATGAAGATCTAATCCAAATACAACAGTTTTCTAATCAGTCTCTACTTAGTCTTAAAACTTCCAGATGCCTTGTGTGAATGTTTGGTCGATCCCGCTCTATAGAAACAACCAATTCTGGTACCGGTAGCTCTAATCCCCTTTGCAATATCTGTGAACTTTATTTCCTTATATTCTGCAACGAAATTTCTAACTTTCCTCCTTTGGTGCTTTCCGATCCTTAACAAGAAGACTTCAAGCCGGTCATTCCGGTCTGATAATAATCAGACATACAACCTCGATTTCAGTTGAGTCATATACCACCTACTTTATTACTCGTCACATCACCTGAACGCATAACTAATTCATAACTTACTTTGAAAACCAGGTCCTAGATTACCCGGGCCATCCAATATGCATTGATCTCCCATCACGGCGATTCAATTCGTCCACACGCTCCTCCACTGGGAATATTTCTTGTCGTATTAGCATTTAGTAAATGTCCTGCGCCTTGACTGCGCCGACTCCTAACCAACATGTTACGGGGTTTTATTGAGTTACATAAGGAATTGTAAGCGCACACGAAGTTTTCGTGACATTTCCTGTGGCATTTTTTCTCAAGTAATATATTTTGGTGTGTGTGTAATGCAACGTTAGCTTTAACACTCCACTGCGTTATAAAAATACAACACCGTAGAGCAGGGTACCCACCTCCAAGTTGCGTACCAGTCATGACCTGTGGCGTTGACCTGCAAGGATCCAGCCTGATCACTCAAATTAACCAGCATCAATGGACAACGTCACCACATGGATCATAGAAAAGTCAGGAAAACGCACAGCTCCAGTGAAGAGTTGGTGTGCACTATGATTGACTTGCTTTGTTATAACCTTGTCTTTTGAACCCGGAACCTTTGTTTCCCGAATACATTAAGGTAGTTCTCATTATTCCCTTTCGATTCCAATTCGCTCCTCCAAAGCTCCTAAAGGTGGCCTCAAACATTAGGTTATCTACCTCCCTAAAATCGCAAAGATCTCACGCATATGGTACGCTGCTAAACACAAAAAAGTACCATCAAACGCGAATTAATTTCGAATTTGAATTCTATGCATTTCATGGAAATCAGCAACCCCGTGTCTTTTGTTACGTGCTAGCCATGAACACGCGTGCACACGTATCTATGGCGTGTTTGGTTTGTTAACTGAGAGAAATGCACAAGATGTACGTCATTGTCCGGTGACTTTTCTCGTGATACATCTCATGGACTGTCATTAGAAAACGAAGCATAAAGTGACTGGTGACATCACGCATAACGCACTACTGAAAGAGGACTTGACAAACTGACCACTAGCATGAAACATAGTTGAAGATCTAAGGTGACTATTAACATGGAATTTATTGCACGTGCTTTTTCGTTCAACATCGACGAACATCTTGACATTTTTCAGTTTGGTGTAACAATTAATTGTTCATCAGTAGTTGCACATTTATGATTGTGTTTCGTGTTTGCTGCATGCAGTCAGTGACATCATTTGTGTCGTATAAGGTCAGCAAGTATTCTCTTTCAAGAAGAATAATTTCATGACTGCCGCAATAGACCGTTTCCGTTCTGTCCTTAGATCTCCGGATCTCCGATTTCCGATTCTGTAGCACGTGCTTCTCACAGTGCACAGAGATATATGTCTTAGCGTTCATTGTTCTGATTCGGCTGAAATGGGGATGATGACCATTTGATTTAGGTGGTTGTAGTGCATAAATTCGTGGAAATAGAAACGGATATAACAAATTTGAAAACACTCCGGCCCAAATTATAGTTTCAAGTGACGCTAATAATTCATTCATCATCCCGGCAAATTGCATGGAGTGAGAACACGAATCTGGACTTTTGTGGACGAAAGATGAAGATGATTTGTGGCACCCGTGGATTTGCTTTTGCTTTTTTAGTTCAATATACATGCATAATTCGCTCCCGTTTTCATCAGATGAACTGCACGTTTCATACACTTCATACTGACGCATAGACTAGCGAGGGGAGGGGCGTGTGAGGGAAATATTCTTCACGGAATTTGAAGTATCAAAAATATCCAGACATTATTTGTTGAGATTCAGACGGTCCATAAAGTGAGGAATATACGTGAGGACCTAGACAATGTTGAAAAATTCGTCGAATGCAGCGCGATTCAAAAAACGAGTAATTGAGCGGTCAATTATTTTCGGATAACCCAATCATGCTCATACTTATCAGATAGGGAACAAATTCTTACATACTTATAAACAGTGGCTCAATTCATGGTCAATAATCGAACCTAGAGAGTAAAGGGTGTGTATGTGAGCTTGTGTCCGTCTATGTGCGTATTCATGTTCAGCGTGTTAGTAGATTTGACCTCTCCCAACCTGCATCAAGTGACACGTCATTTTCGGTCGTGGTTTTCACACCCCTGGCCCAGGCATTTGGAGCGCGTGCACCAATCATTTCTGGCCACACAGGTTCGGGCCTAGTAATTTTGAAATCGGGTTGATTACCATTGGAAATAATTGAAGGTTGTAAATAAATTCACTAAAGTAG